AGCCGGGTAATGAAACGTTTCCAAGAAAAGAACCAAGTTCAGAGAACCCCAAGGACTCCACAGCTGGTACTACTATCAAGGACCCAGGATAAGAAAGTCTTCCATGCAGAATTAGGTTGTTCGCTGTGAGTGCTCCTTGAAACTAAATGCAGGGAGATGCAGGACCAACAGAAGAAAATAAGAAGCTAAGCTGGAATTCCGGGTCAGCAGCTGTGGCACAGATTAGGGAAGGGAGGCTATCATTAGCTATTTACTACTTTCTTCATCATAGGCAGTGTGTCTTAAATGCTGGTTAATGGGAAGCAACCGTGGAAGGGGCTATCACTCTCCATCCCAGCTATGAACTTCCCACATGCATTGAATTGGCTCCTGTGGGATACACAACGCCAAACTATGGGGCTCTTGTGTCATGTCTGACTCTGAGCAGCTTATGGGTCTCCAAATCAGTAATAATATTACAAACTAGAGCACTACAGTACAAGAGTAAAATTTCCCAACCGTTATCCATACACATAACCCTCCCTGGAAAGATAAGTTGATATCACATGCAAAGAGAGCTTGATGATTCAGAAGCAGCACTGTGGTTGTTCTCGGTGCAACTGAATCCTTAGTGGCGCTGCCAGATATGATTTTATGGAGCCTTTCACATTACATGGGGTGACCTCCCAAATGTAATGTTCTATAAACTGAACAATGAGCAGCCAAGCCATTATAGCCTAGCTGAGAAGCAAGTGGGTAAATAATACAGGCTGAAGGAATTAAAGCCATAAAAAGTGTTCATGGCTGAGCCAGGTTGCTAAGGTAACAGTGACATGGTCTCCATTGTGACACTTTCCCCTGCTGATTCATATGTCAGATAGCCAGAGCTCCTTTCAGGAAGTAGGTATTTGATGTTTTTGTCTTCTGCTGTTACTGATTTCCATTATTGGTTACTTTGAGCCTCACTTGATTACAGGTAGTCCCCAGGCTAAGAACATCCAGGTTACAGACAACCCATAGTTAAGAACCGAGCCTATTGTAGCAAAATTCAAGCTAAATACACAATGATTTGAGTTAAATACACAATGGTTTGAGTTCATTACACAATACTATTTATACAGTATTATACAATAATACCGTTCTGACTTGTATACAAATTCGACTTAAGGACAGACCTTGGGAACAGAACTCGTTCTTATACTAGAGACTACCTGTATGCACTAATCGGACTAGAAGTAATTTTGGTCTGTGACTTCCTAGTAATGCAAGACTGAGAAACATAGCATGGATAGAAGTACTGATCACTGCCAGATTATTTTTATTCTTGGCTAAGCATCAGACCTGAGGGTAGCTGGAGACGACATGGAAACTGAATCTTGGGGTAACACACATTCTTTGCACATGCTTAGAATTGTGCTGAGCAGGTACACTTCAGTAAAAAGGGGTAGCGTACCTCTGTATCACACGTTCATGTGAGTTCACATGTGGACCGGTAGTGGGAGCAGAAGAGTTATCTGTTAAATTTGAAAATATCTTTTTCGTTATCCTAATCCAGGTACAAGTGAAGATGTCTGCAGACTCTTCTTGAAGAAAGCAAGAAAGCAAATGAGAGCACAGGAAAGAGGGAAACAACATTACCAATTTGGGTGTGTAAGCTGGATTTTATATTAGCTTTTGAATTCTAGTTCTTCACTCTCCATGATAAATGACAGCAGCCCACCCTTGAGCCCAATGATTCAAGTCGTGGTTAAAATATTGGACTTGGATAGGGGAGACTCAAGTTTGTGACTCCCACTTAATAATGTTCACTGGCTTGTTCCCTCTCAGCCAGCTTACCTCATAAGATGTGGGGATAAAATGCAATAATAAAATAGGGAGTTTCTTTTTCTGCCAAACACAATTATATTCAAAAGATAGACAGAAAGACAAATTAGTTTTAATAAAATGGGTTTCTTTTTCTTTGGGGGCATTTTAAAGACCCAGCAAATGATGATGGAGCAAGATTTTAATTGCATATTTTATAATTCCAAAGATTGCTCCAATCTTTGCTTGCAAACATTGGGGTTCTGCAGCAGCTCTCTCTTTAGGGTGCCCTCTGGATGCTGATATGCTTCCACACTTAGCGTTCCAGCCATTGAGCATACGGGCTGGGAACGCGGAGAGTTGAAATCCCACACATTTGAAGGGAACTAAAGAAAAGTTGACATTTTAACTTTAGTGACAGTCTCAACACACACCTACTTCTATAGAAGTAGGCATTCCTTTCTGAAGTTACCTGGGTATAAACTATTTGAGCTGCAACAGATAAACTACTTGTAGTTTACATATATTTTTCAAAGCTAGCCCCACATAGAACATATTACAGTAAACTATTTTAGATCTATTTAAGATATGTATGACTATAACTACTGTGGCATAAACTAGACATCCTGAGCCTGATGCCCTCTAGTTGTGTTGCCCTTCAGGTCCAAGAGTCTCCACAACTGGAAATTATTGGGAACTGACGTCCTGCATGTTTGGAGGGCACCGGCTTTGGAAAGGTTGATGCAAACTCTTCCAGCTCTTTCCATATCGGGATAAAAGCAGAAATGTAGTTTTGCTACTGGGGCTTTGTTATTAATTAATATTAAAATTCAATTCAGTCAGGAGGGACAGAGTTGTATGTTATAATTATTAATCTTGAAGATCTCACATGATCCTTCACCAACCTGGCACCATCCAGATGTATTGGGACTGCAACAGATTATTTAATCAGTATGGTCAGAGGTCCACTTTGTCACCCCCCCCCCATTTTTTTTCAGTTTCTACAAACTTCATGGTTTTCCTAAACCAATACTTATTTAAATACAGAACCAAGTCCTTTTGCACTGCAGCTGGGAAAGATTTAGGCCATGTGTGTGTGACATACTTACCTGTGGTTAACACAACCACAGTGTGTTCAATGAACCTCCTTTTTGGGGTTTGCATGACACTTTGAACTATAATTAATCATGCAGGCTGGGTGATTACATAACATGTTAGGCTAAAATATGGTTGCCTAGTTTGTGGCTCAGTGTGTTGGGTGACCACAGCCTACATAAAGCAGCTGTCTAGTTTAGGGGTCCAGGATATAGACAGGAGACTATAAGGACACTGACTGATTTCTAACAGAGGGATATGTTCTTTGGTTCAGGAGGAAGAGTCAAGACTTCCAGCACTTGCCTTCTGAAGCAGTGTTTGCTTCATGGTAGGTTTGAGTGGAATGCACTGTCTAGAGCTGGGAGGCACTAGCTGC